AAGTGACTGTCAGCTTCTAAAAAAGGGCTCTGCACCATACAGTTTCACATTTGAAGCAATAATTCCTTAAGACATTAAAAAATGATACTGGTGAGAGCATTTGTGACAATATTTAAGAAAAGTTTACTTGTTGATATATTGTTAATTAACCTATTCTGTATTCTAGAAACGTTTGCGGACGTGTGCTGTGTGATAAGGTTAGGAATCAACAACAACGTTTCGGCAAACAATGAAGTTGCCATCTTCAGGGTGAATATTCACCCTCAAGTTGGAAACTACAGTGTCTGAAGAATCGTTGGACAACTTTGAACATTCAACGCGACTCATGCCCGAAATCCGAAGTCGATTACTTAACGCACAATAATTACTATAATAAAATTTCCGTTTTGTCATTGCACTTAATTATCCAATACCATAAAGCAACATTACTTACATTATACGACTTCAGATTCCGTTGTTTTCCAGAAGCTAATTTATCAAAGGAACAGGCACACAAAACTGTTTGCACTAGATAAAACATACAAATTAAACACAGAAACGACATTAAACGCAAACAACAGGCGCGAACTTTGGGCGGAAAATAGTGCTAGCTTCACTTGTAACCTCTCCTTCTCCTTCTGAAACAGCCTTTGTCCATGGTAGTTTGTAAACAATTGATGGTTTAATTAAAGAATATGCTCTTCAGGAGCGCGAAAAATGCACTGTTTTAAACTATGGTTTGGGGTGTTTGAGAAATACTATATTTGTCCTAAAATATTAAACCTAACAGAAGGACAAACTTATGATGTAAACACAAGCTTCAGAATGTCATCGTCATCTGTTTACTTTTACGGCAATTAAATAAAGGAAAATGAGATAAACCTTTCATACATTACGCATTGGATGATATTGAAAACACAAAACGAATTTCGGCCAGTAAGCCTCATCAAAAGAGATATAGATGGGAAGACAATTACGAAATCACTTTCAGACAATCAGGGGGCTAGGGTGCCGACGAAAAACTACTAGAATTTGTACATCCGGTGAAAGATTTTTTTTAAAATTTAGCCCGGGAATCGAATGAGAACCTTTACGGAAAAATAAAACACTGCCAATCACTAAAGTGTGAAATCAATTACAACTCCATGTTACAGACAATATTTTAATGTTTAAGTACAGTACAATCTGACCGTTGATTTGGTCATCAGTTTCACCAGTCGTGTCCGAAACATCACGGAGCAGTGCTTTTCATCCAGCGGCCCACGTTTGATATATGCCGGCCCGCACATTACTAAAAAAAAGTAGTTGGCTTTTTATAGGCCTCTAAGATATGTAGCTGTCCTAGCATCTAGCCACCATGTCATTTGTGGTAAATCTCCGCGTATTCTTAATTTCGGCGTTAATTGGCGGTAAATGGTCAGGCCGCTATACAACCATGAAAGGAACTCCTCGAAACATATCTGGCAGGCAGCTACCAGGCTCCTAATCACAGATTTATACATTGATGTCAAAAATACTTGTGCCCCGGCGGAATCGTACCACTCATCCAGCCTGTAACTAGTCATTTTAGGCTACTTAAAAACATCCAGCTTCAATTAAATCACGAAATTTTAAAATATGAATGACATTGACGAAACATGGTTGTGGACTGAGGAACCGAAAGCTGTGTAGGAGTGGAGGCTACTGAACGTTAAGATTCTATGCACAGATAATTGTACTCGAAAGAAAACAATCGCTTTTAATGATGTGACCTTGCGGGTGTTGAGTCAGAATTTGTCGGTGTTCTCTCAGAAATGGGTTCACGGAGCCATATTAATAGCCGGATATCATTGAGTGTACTTTGATTAAATAATTTAATATGCCCTTGTAATTATTTTAGTTTGCGCTCATTTACCAAGAGTCATCTGCCTACGGAAAATTTCTGTTGTACACAATGACGGTTGGCAAAACCTCACTTCCGACAAAACTTTTTACTCCGATGACTTACTGTTGTGATTGATTAAAATTTCGACAAAAGTCATATATTCTGCCATCTGTGAATTATAGAGCAAATACAAAAGAAGACTTGAGGGGATCGGTATCTTCATCAGTGAAAAGGTGTGCTATTATTTAACAGCTACTGAAGTTCTGTCCAATCTCCGTTGGTCCTACTTATCTCCTGCTGCCATCTGTTTGTAAAATTGGAAGACTAGTCGTTCCCCTCTCTGAGATGAAGTAGTTCGGTGTTGCCATCTGTTGGTTGGGCACAAAGTTGTCTCTTTTCATCTTCCAACTTAACCCTATTTGTTGTTACAACGCACGCCATTTTTAAGTTCTGATATTGCACAAAGCCAGTTCCATTAATTATTCCAAGAAATTATTATCATTATAATTTGAGCTAGAAATTACTTAGTAAGAGCAAATGTATTCGTAAAATATTATTGAAGGGTAAATTTGGAAGAGTACTTTCCAGAAATTGGAATTAATTTGGAGTGCAAATAGTAAGATGACATGGCCCATAATTACAAAGTGATAACCTCTACTATGGGTTTAATTTGGGAATGACAAAAATTCAGATGGTTGTCTTCTGGGTTGTTGCATCGTGTAGTCTGTAGAAGTATACGAATATTTCAGAGCTCTCAGAGGTCCCAGCTGTTTCCATCATAAGGGTAAACCAGACATCACAATGCTACAAACCCAAAGACAGTCATCTTTGTACTCACCACTGTAAGAACCAACGTCAAATACAAAAATTCAAGTCCTTAGTTTTAAAATGCTACTGGCTGCTTCTAATGGCAGAATGGTACAGAAATTTGAAACAGAACTTCATTGGTTAACTAAATATCTTTTGTAAAGGTAAAAATTCTGGTACACTGATGAAATTTTTTTTATTTCAATTGTCTTTCCATCTCATAACTATAATACAAATGTATATACATTTTTTATTATTATTTCATTTTTTCTAAATTTCATACATGAAGTAAAATAACAATTTTTTGCTTCTTTATAAAAATAATTAATTTAGGTATACAATATTTTAACACTCATACAATTTCTTTAAATATTTATAACTTTGCTTCTCAGCCAAAGAGAAACTAGGATACTACAGGAGAAAGAAAAATAAACCGTGGTTTGATGAAGAATGTTCCAAATTAATAGATCGAAGGAAGCAAACAAAATTTGAACGGTTGCAGGACCCAAACAAAACAAATGCGGATAATCTATCCTTGTAGTCTGGTATAAGTTTATCGACGTTCTAGGGGACTACCTTAGTAAAATCCTCTGAAACGTCTGTCAGTATCTACTAGACCACATGTCTAAATAAAATTTAAAGTTCCAGTCCGTACCGCTAAGAAAACACCACACGTCACCATTACACAGATCAAGTGGTTAATGTCGTTTAAAGTGAGAATCATACGAAATACATTAATAATCTACACTCTGTGGTTATTGATTATTGAAGGAGGTGGTATGTATGGTTACCACTTCGGTTTAAGGGGTTAAATCAAGCAAATACCACATCATGCTGACTTCCTTCCGGAGCACAGATTCTACTTTATTATTATTCTATATTAAACAACTTCCGCGGTTGGTATAACGTGTTTAAATAACTAACTAACCAGTGTTGTAATCTGCGAACTTTCATATTGTGTTAATATATGGAAGTGATAAATTACAAATTTAATGAATCAGAGAAATCCCTTTAAGAGATGAAGGACGGAAACGTTAAGATTAGCTGAGAGGTAATTTTGGTTCTTCAGAGTTGCTTGTACTGGTGTCAATACGATAATTCGCCCGGGTTACGTGAAGGGAGGTCTTGTAGGAATGTCAGCCCTGAAGATTGTTTAATGTAACGTTTCTTTGTCTGCAATTTAATGAAAGGTTTGAGGATGTAGCTTGCTGGCAGGAATTAATTATGTTCAGAAATATATTCATATAATCCAAAACGCTTTGTTGGTAATTAAATCAATTTGAGACTGCGAAAATCATTATGAATTTATAGACGTAGAGACATAAATGGAATTATTACAGACCTCACAGAGTGTTGTATGTAGTTTCTACATTGTAAACCCGATAAATTAACTTACGGTTTTAATTAGAAATTTAATCTATAATTTCCTTCAGTTCTGTTCATTTACGCGTCGAACTGGGACGCTTTTAGATGGAAGAGATTAGACAAAAGATTCTAAACTCAATCACGCTATCAGAGAATTGGTTCACATATCAGAGGTGATTTGAAAGTTATGCGGAGGTCGTAATATCCTCTCAACTTTCGATCAGAGTCGGTTACAATACAAGGCAAAGATACATCACCAATCGCTTTTTCCTTTCGTTTTTAACGTAGTTTCGTCATTTAGGCTGTAATTGTCTGCACATTGAATTACAACGTAAAGGACAATTACACTGTCTGTAATACCCAGAGAATTTTTAAAATTTGTATATAAAATTACTTCATGGACAAAAACAAACAAACATTCATTTCAGTAGTGACAGAATGTTAATGCATGAGAAACGAATTGTTTAGGTGGTAACTAAATATTTTGTCTTCCCGTCTGATTTCTAAGAACCTGAAAATTAAAGTATACAAAACAATAATCTTACCTGTTGTTTTGTATGGGTGCGAAACATGGTCTCTCACTCAGAGGGAGGAACGTAGATTGCAGGTGTTTGAGAATAGGGTGTTGAGGAGGATATTTGGGCCTAAGAGGGAAGACGATGGGGCGTGGAGAAAACTGCATAATGATGAGCTTAAAAATCTGTACTCCTCCCCCAATATTGTCAGGGTGATTAAGTCGAGAAGAATGAGATGGGCGGGGCATGTAGCGCGCATGGATGGGACAAGAGGTGTGCACCGGGTATTGGTCGGGAAGCCTGAGGAAAAGAGACCGCTGGGGAGACCTAGACGTAGATGGCAGGATAGTCTCAGGCGGGATCTATGGGAGATAGGAGTCGAAGGAGACTGGATTTTGTTGGCCCAGGACAGGGTCGGGTGGAGGGCTTTGGTTAATTCGGTGATGAACCTTCGGGTTCAGTAAGCCATCTAGTTACTTAGTTAATTTATAACTTTGCTACAGTACAGCACACAAAATGATTGGAACAATGACATTTTTTCAGACATGGTTGTTTTCTTAAGATAATGTCTATAGTGTTCACAAATGAAAGCTGTTCTCTGTTATAACAATTTCAATAGCTTTACCCAACCTATATAAAGTTTTGTTTTTATAATCCTGCATTCTTATAGGGCAAGTATTTATATGTAGATACACATTATGGCCACAGAGGGTTTCATTTCCCCTTTTTGTGAGGCAACATTTAGTGGTGTGCCATCATGTGTACTCGGAGATATTGCGGGTTCAGTTCCAGACCACGGCAATAAAGCAAGTCACGCGAATTGTTTGGTTTCCCAGTGCATATAAAAGTTATGTTTACACTATACTGTAGTCTATTAAGTGTGCAATAGCATTATGTCTAAAAAAAACAATGCGAGAATTACCAAAATGTGACACAGACACGAAGTGAGCACATTCTGTTGGAAAAATGGCGCTGATAGACTTGCTTGACGCAGGGTTACCACAAACCTTCAATTTGTAAAAAATGCAATATCTGCAGAGCGCAATAAAATGAGGTATGCCTGTATGAGAAATCAGGCAGTGCTAGAGGTGAAAGATGTTTGCAGAACACTTCTGAACACTAGGATTCCCTCTGCATTCATTCTTGTAATATGTCAATTCCATCTTATTTTATTTGTTAACTTCCCCCCCCCCCCAGGTGTTTATCTTCAAATTCTATTTTCTTTATTCTTTACTCTACTTTTCAAGATCTTTCTATTGCACCATTTATTAATTTACTCTCTGCACAATAATTTTTTTAACCATTCAATATCTTACATAATTACAATAATTGCCCCTTTATTTTTTATACCCCCGTACTTTCTGTAGTAATATCATATCAGTTCTTTGCATTTACATGAAAATAAGCTGCTCCTGAATTTTAAGAAGAAAATGAAAGTAAAATGTCATTTACATCCCACATCAAAGTTTTTAAATTAATAATACTGCTAAAAAGTAGTTTATTTAAAAGAGTTCATAACTGCACCTCCTCTACCACTTCCTGTTCAACGGCATCAACACACCTCACTGCCAAAATATCAACCAAGATGCAACCTTTAAAACAGTTATTTTACCTAGTGAATGGCTGTTCTTGTCCTTTTTGGCTGTTGTTAAACACTTAAATAAAATAACTGAATTATTTCATGCAATTTCACTCATTCATTCCTGAGCAAAAAACTTATTTATATATTTCCCATTACTGAAATATTTGCATTGTTTATGCAAGTCAAATACTATGAAGCAACAGTTCCTAACGGCAGGAAATACAGAACAATTATCTTGCCACAATAACGTTCTGATTACAAACCACAACTTAGCCTAAGGTTAAGCAATTCTTTGGGGTGGGGGGGATGGCTTACATTCTTGTAAATGTGGTGCCTGCAGGCCCTACCAAATAATCTCATCTATGGGCTGGGAATAATAAGTATCTCAATATATCATAATGGTGGAAAATCCTCTTCTCTAAACTTATAACCAACATCAGCTCTACTTATAGGCATTGTAATGACATCACGATTTATTCCACCAATCTGTATTGGAAAGGATTCTTTAGTCTTATTTTTAAAATGGTCAGAAATTGGATATGTATGGGTTAAAGCTTGATTACAACTACTGTTATGAACTTGTATTGGTGATGAAGAATTAATTTCATTTTTATTATCAAATTCTGTAACTGACCCTGTACTAAAATTAGCCAAACTATTAAGAAGAGCATTCCTACAACGACCCAGTGGCTTCTTGGGTATCAGGCGGTTTGCAGGTGGATCAGAATCACTACTTTCTGCTTTCTCAGGCTTCGCAGCTGAAGACAATGTCCCTTTTGTATTAGTAGCGTCATCATCTGTTGCCTCATGACATGAGTTCTCTTCTTCAGCATCATCAAACTGTGCAACCACGTTTGAATGGTCATTTGGAGACTCTAGAAAAAGTAATCACATTAATAAGAACCATGTAAAATGTCATCATCACAGCATTAAAAGACAACAAATGGGTGCAAAGTGTGGTTTCATGTTCTTTGATCTATACTACAGTTTCTCCCAGAGAGCAAGAGTAGTGGGCAATTTTTTTCCCATAATTCTATAATTGAAACAGTGTTAAGTAACTCAATTAGCTACCTCAACAAGCATATTTTATCAATACACCATATGACAAATATATAACATTCTGATTAGTGCTTTTGCAGTGCTAAGATGTGCATTATAATAAATCTGAAGTGGGCATCAGTTAACATTTTCATGCACCCTTGTAAGCACAGCAGATTAAAATACTTCATATATGCATTACACAAACCAAAACACTTGTATTATCATCAAAATTTCAATGTTCATATTTTGGGGAGAATAAACTTTGTATCCTATAAGAGATTGCCAAAATCAGTGAAGGGATAAAAATTATACATAAACATCATCACCTAGGCAAATGATGCACTCACCTTAGGCAGTGTTCTGCAACCAGTGTGCCACCACTAGGTTTCAGGTGTATCACAAATTTTAAAAATAAATTTTATATTCGTATGTCATACTTCAAAAAAAGCAATGTCTTATCCTTCATAATTAGAATTTGTAACACACACTGGTTCATAATTGGTAGTCTGGTGGAAGTTTACCTAAGTTTCAAAAGTCCTTGCTACCTCCATCATCAGGGTAATGATTCATTTAAAACATTCAATGTAAACTGATATATATCAGTAGATCCTAATGCTACTTACCACCACGTATGAAGTCTTCTATTATTTTATTAGAATATCCAGGGCCCATAGCCTGCAATAAAGAAAGATGAATAATAATAATGTACAAATGATGATGATGATGATGATAGTAAAGATATTAATGACACTGGAAACAGAAATAATGACAAGAACAATAATGACAATGAAAGTGATACTGATAATGATGATCATCATGCAATGAAATAGAATTCAATACAAAAGATCTCTCCTTCAGCTTAAAAACAAAACAGAACTGGGAGACACCTGGAGTTCATCAGATGTCTAATTTCTATGCAGAATTCCAGGCAGTTGGTCTGTATAATGCAGGGGTGGCCAACCCAAATGATCTTTCGGGCCACTTTGGAAATGCATCATAACTCCGCGGGCCACATATAAAATTATATATCCCCATATTAGATTTAGATACACTATAGACATTTTTTTGGAGTGAAAAATTGAAACATAATGAGTTATTATTATTGTGTTTACTATTATTCTTACATGTAAACATAGACAACACACTGTTTGCCGAGATAGGCTTAGGTTCGAAAACAGTTTACTTTTATCAGGTAAAATATCCTTCACAACAGCTTCCAAACATTCTGTCACAAATTTACCATCCGAAAATGTTTTCATTTTTTTTACAATCACAAATGAAACAGAATAGCTTGCCTTAACAATATTGGAAGGTTGCTGTAATGCTGCACCAAACATTTTTTGTTGAGCCTTTAATTGCGACTTAAACTCCTTGAGCTTCGATTGTTTCACTTCTTTATCGAACTTCAAATAATCCTTATGTTTTGTTTCGTAATGCCTCTTAACATTATATTCCTTAAATACAGCAACGACCTCTCGGCAAATTAAACATAATAATTTTGTATTTTGAACTATGAAGAAGTACTTTCAATGGAAACAAAATAGCATGGCACTGCATTGGACTTGATTACAGTGCTTAAGGGTACATCTGTGTTGCCAGATATTGGCGGATGGCAGCTCAGGCATGTGTTTTACTGGGTGGGTTCTCTCTAAAATTACATAATAAATGTCTATTCAGAGGTTATCATAGATTCAAAAATGCAATATGAGAGTGGTGGCATAGAGAAGTGCAATGTATCTGGGATTGACTATACCACCTTTTGATTCCACATAACCATTGCAGTTAATACAGTACAGACTTGAATAATGAAGTATAGAGACAGTTCAAAATACTACTTTCAGAATAATTCAAGTTTTATAAATCTGGGTAAATTTTTACCATTCTTATCTGATCTTGAAGAGATGCATCCCATCGGTGTTGATTGCGAGCCAAAATTCGCTCTCCTCTACCAACTCCTAGATCTAAACTTGATGGCAGTTGTAAGTCTGCCTCTCCCACCTAAGGAAAAGGTGAAGATAACTTAGCAGACTGCATAAACAGAGAATGAAGAAATGTCTTGCATGAAACAATCTACACACTTCAATAATTTGAATTACTGCAATAACAGACACCTGCTGAAGAAAGTCTTACCATATTAAACAATGGTGATGGTGGTCTTGAAGACTCTTCTTTTATAAGGCTTCCACGTCCGTACGATACAATTGGAATATCCTTTGCATAATTACATCCGGCCGAAAATTCCGCTAACATATCCAGATCCGCCAATACATCCATGCTTGATGTCCAAGTGGCCATTTTTTGCTGTTCTTCTAAAAAGGAAAAGAAAAACAAAAATATTATTTCCAACATTAAAAATGCCTGTCAGAATTACTTCTCTTACTTCTTTCATTATCTACAAACATTACATTTACTTCTAACATAACGTGGCCTACTTCGAGCACTACAAAACATACGGCAAGTAAATAGGTTAGTTTACTTTTGTCCCTATTTATATGTAAGATACCAACTTCTAAACATTAAAGTAGAAAATACAACATGCTGGCATGTGATGAAATCCAGCA